GCCACTCTTCCAAAGAGTTGTATGCAGTTCTTTGCTAATTACATGAGACCCCAGGGGAGGGACCAGAGTATATAGTCTGGGAGACTTAAGAAGTTGGGGTGCTCCTCATCTGTGCAGCATAGTCATCCATGCAGGGTGCAGACTTTCTACCCTCCCACACCCCTGCCCATAGCCCCTCACCCACTGCTCTCTAAATAAGTCTAATAAGCTCACTGGGTTTTCAGTATGAACTTTTGTAGAATTGTACCTCACTTTGACCTTAGGAGGAGGAGTAGACACTGCTAACATATTCCCCCGGGAAGAGATTTTAGCAATGGAGCCTTTATTTTCTCCACCTGTCAACGGTGACCTGGAAAATGTATCTTGAATGCTGCTGATGAGAATGAAAGGGTCTAGGAAAATAAAATTGCTCTGAGCATTGAGATAGGAAGAATATAGATTCAAGGGTTCCTTCCAGCCTGCAGTTCAAGGCTCTATTTATGGCTGATTAAACTTGAAATACTAGAGACTCTTGTTCCTTCTGAAAGAACTGAAGGAAACAATCACTTCAGTAGCTTTAATATTCACTCTGCCCCCCTCCCCTTTTAAATTTTATTTTGAAAGATGGAGTCTTGCCATGTAGCTTAGGCTGGCCTTGAATTTGTGATCCTTGTGTTTTGCCTCTGTTGTTCTATTATTGTGGGCATGTGATTCCAGGTTCTGCTTGCCTATAAGTTCATTCTTAAAATGAAAAAAATAAAGAGGTAAGAATTAAATGGTCAAGAGTTGATGATCTATCACTGATGTCATAGAGACAATTTACTCAGATTTATTTCATATTCTCTTGGTTAATGCTGTGGTGCTAAATCAGGTTGACTACATATACAACAGTTTTTGGTAAAACCATAGCCAATATTGGTAAACATTGTAGAATAGACATTAACATAATTGTTATCAGTGAAATTAATTTCAGACATCTAAAGGGTGTTTTATATTCACTATTAAGGGGCTGACCAGGATAGAAACCTAATGTATTTGAAATACATCCATTTCATTTCTAGGCACTGTCTTCTCTAGTTTTAATTTTTGAAAATGCTCCTGATTTGAAGTCAGTGTTTTAAACTTACATGAGTTTTAAATTTTTTCTTAAGGAATCAATCCTGACATAGAAATCTGAGCTGTTCTAGCTAAACAATAAGGATGAGGACCTGGGCACCAACAAGTTTAATTATCAACAACTGTTGATTCTTAAAGATATTAAAATTTGAGACTGTCTGGGTCATTGAACCGGAGTGGGAGAACTTTGAAGTAGAGATGAGCTTTGGCATTGATGGGGACTGACATGCTATAAACTGGTGTGAGCCTGTCATAATCCTTAGGAAGTTTATAGAGCAGAACACTGTAATGTTCTGAGGCTACATATGACTATAATTCACATGGAATTGGAGGTTCTGTTTGCTGCTTAGCTAAATAAAGGAGAAAGTAGATCTCTGGCAAAGAGTAGATGAAAAGTGCCTAAGTTTTCCAGGAGGTAGTGAAATGGAGGCTGAGGCATAGGGTAAACCAATACGTATGGATTATCTGTGCCAAAGGAGCTCCTGCCTAGTGGGTGGGATCTAGACCCTGCTGCCCAAATGTCCTTGATTGTGCTTACAAAAAACATTAGTGATGCTCAGTTGATTTTCCAAGAAGAATTTCTAGGTGAATTTAATGTGAGAGATCTTTAATAATAAATAATATATCCCTTCTGCTTGAAAAAAACTTTGCCTAAGCATCATGAGAGTATTATTTTATAACTCACTGTCACTTCAGAAGAGGACACGTGTTCCCTGACTTGATGAATCTGGGGGGAACAGTTTGAAACAAACCCTGAGACATTAACTTTAAGCCACTATGCAGCCAATAATATCATTCCTTTATGATTTACAAGATAGCCTCAATTCTCATGTTTTCAAGTTGAGTTCTGGTGAAGCCTCTGCCTCCCATTTGACAGCTAATTAATTTTTGTGACAGCTGTTCATTCTCTGCTACTTGTGTAATCGGAGTTTCAGGGTGGTAAAGACCATGCTGATTGGAAGAAGACCAGGAAGCCCTAGCAAAGAGAATCAAGCTCTGCACTGGAGTCCTGAGCTCTTAAACTGCTGGACATTTGATCCATTCATGTTGCAGTAGAAACTTTCAATCTCTAGTCCTTAAAAAGGACATAGTTAAATGCTTGGGTTTAAATATGCCATTGAAATCTCGGAGTTTGAATGAGATCATTCAAACTAGAGAGTATGTTTCTCTGGTAACAAAGCATTTTGAGCAATGGGATTAAGTTTAGAGGCCAGACTTGGGGCACAAATGACTTGATACCATCATTAGGAGTCCGTCAGTAGACAAACAAGAGGAAGAAAATAAGAGGCTTTCTGAGGCTTGAGCTAACAGGGATGCTGGTCAATATGTGAAAACCACACTATTGCATTAGGCTTCAATTTTATTTTCACTTAATCTACCTTAAAGTTATATGAGAAAGTGAATTTTTTACAGCGATATGAAATTTTTATGAGAAATAAATTATAATATAAGATTTGAGCATTGCCAACTATGCAGGGCATCTTAAATTTCTGCTTTAAAGAAATACAGTTAGAGTCAGGGATATGGCATAGTCATTGCTGGGGATTAATAATGGGAAGGTTGGCTATTTGAATTTATCTGTAAAAGTATTTACCGGAGAGGTCTGCATTTTGGCTGATGACTCCTGAGTGTCTGATGGAGGGAGAATGTAAAGTGTTCTGTTTTGGGTATATTCATGGGTGATGTAATAGTTACTCTTGTTAATATGACTTTAAAAATCACATAGGAACACATCTCTCCATGACCATCTGTGGAGATGTTTCAAGAAAGGCTTATCTGATGAGGAAAGAATCACCTTGGATGTGGGCAGTGTAGTCCTATGGTCTGGGCTTCCAGGTTAAAGGAATGGGGCAGAGGGCCGAGCAACAGTCTTCATCCTTGCTTGCTTCCAAACTGTGGATGCAATGCGACCAGCCCCCTCCCACTTCCTACCACCATTCTTTTCCTGCCACAATGGGCAGTATCCCCTTAAACTATGAGCCAAAATAAATCCTTCTCAGTTACATCTTTCTGGAAACATCCACCCATACAAACACAGTGCTGTAAAGAGGGCAGGGGGCTGCTTTTCATCCTGCCTGGCTCCTGTCTGCCCAGCTAGCTTTACCTGAAATAATTACACGGAAACTGTATTCATTTAAACACTGCCTGGCCCATTAGTTCCAACCTCTTATTGGCTAACTCTTACATATTCGTTTAACCCATCTCCATTAATGTGTATTGCCACTTGACTGTGGCTTACCGGCATGAGTCTAACCAGCATCCTTCTCAGAGAGGAGAGCCATGGTGTCTGCCTGACTCTGCTTTCTTTCTCCCAGCATTCTGTTCATTCTATTCCACCTATCTAAATTCTGCCCTATCAAAAAAGACCAAGGCAGTTTCTTTATTTGACCAATGAAAGCAACACATAGAAAGAAGACCCTCCTACAATACAGAGATGTATTTCCATGTGGATTCTAAATCCAATTATATCGACAATGAAGACTGATGATGACAGGTATGAATGCCAACGATATGATGTATACCTAAACTTCCAATGTAGAACAACTCGCAAGACAGTGAAGCTAGTTATAAACTAGTCATTTTCCTATAGAGAACAGACAGCATTCACTTGGCACTAGCATGTGTATAGAGCACTGCCACTGAGTTTCCATTTTATCTTAAAAGTATCTTTTGGGGTATATTTTGACAGACCCCTTATACTTGAAGTAGCCAAGTGCTGCTCATGCCTCGCACTACCAGGCAGGGACCACACTTGGGCTGGGAATTCTGCTGGCAGGGTCCCAAGGCCATTTCTATTCTTCAAAGTAGGACCTTCCTTATCCATTGTCATCATCGTTCCCTGCTGTTTGTGGGATGCTCAGGTCATGGTACTGGTGATGGCATAAGTCACTGGGATACACAGAGTGTAATGGAACAACAGAAGCTTCCATAAATACAGGCTACATTTCTGTAGCATTTTGTGTGTCTTTGTCTTTCTTACCTGTTTTCTATGGTGAGCAGCCGATAACAGATGGCAACGTAGGCTTATCTTTGTGTGAGGACACAGTCTTAGGACACAGTTCGGTTTAAGAGCATGAGAAGTGGTTACATGCTTTCATTATTAAAATAATATTAATAGAGATTTGTGTATGAACAAATCAAGGTAACAAGTTGGTTTTTAAAGTTAAGTTATAATATCTATGTAAATTTGATATCTATTATGACTTATGAAAATGTGAATTTGATATCTGTTATGATAAAAATGAAGACTACATTGAAAAAATTCTTGATTTTAAAGAGAGGTAGACAAATCGCCATGTCTTTTTTTGCATGGCTCCAGGGATGGACCTTACTGGGCTGGTGAGGGAAAGAAGGAAAAACACACACTAGACACATGGAGAAAAACTGGGTGTGGGTGTACTGGACCCTTTGTTGGAGAACTCTCAGCACCCAGAAGTAAGAGGGTTTATTACATAAGATTGAGCAGGGAGACAGGGTTATTCTATATGGATATACAAGGAGGCCAGGTTTATGGGGTGCAGCTGGATCAAGGGAACAGGTTGAGCTAATTCAGGGGAAGCAGTCTTTGGGCCATAAATATCCTGAGGGAGAAGATCATCCTGCTATCAACATCAACACACCTGAGGAAGACTTTTATATTCACTTTTGAGTCTCACTCCCAAGGGGGGAGCAGGCTTTGCTACTTTCCTCTGAGGTGATGGAGTGCTTGAGGTGATCATGTATCTGTGTTAAGAGTACACATCCAATCAGGGCTCCACTCAGGCCTTGCTCTGCCCCCTACAGAAACAGTGGTCTATATTTCTGCAATTTTTTTTACTAGGTAGATTGACTAGGGATTGTAGCCATCTGAGAAGACTGAATGTAAAAGATCCTGTTCCAGAGTTATAAAATGCCACAGATCAGAGTCCTTACAAACACAGGCTATTTATTCAAATAATCATATTATGTGAAGAAAATTGCTTCCCATATCAGATTTTTGATGCATTTGAATCTTTATTCTACAACACAAGTGACATAAATACAGTATCTTTTAAAATATTTTCTCTTTAGAATTCGTTTTTCACTTCAGATAAAATATACACAAAATACACTTGCAAGCTTGCTTACAGAGACCTGAAAAACAGTGAACTAACAGATTATATCAAACCAGACAGTTATAGCAACACTTGAAGGAGAGTGGTTTTCAGGACTTTGTAAAGGTAAATGTGGCTAAATAATAAGTCAAAACAAAAATGATACTTCCTTGACAAGGCCTTTGGGGTAAACAAAATAATTCAAGGCTCCTGGTGAATTGGCTGCAAGAATGAAATTTCCATCTTAATAGGGAAAATGGTAAGTCTACTCAATCATTATGGCTATACTTAGCTTCATTTATTCATAATTTATAATGAAAATAAGCTCATTCTTTGGTATAATACAAAAATGGATAAAAGGAATTCTCCTACCTAGTGGTCGTATCTCAAGTGGGGATAGGAATAGGGGGAACTATCGAAAACGTAATTATTTGTTTATTCCTCTTAGAAAATCACTGCGGAACAGAAGTCATTTGGCATTTGGTTAGAGGAGTAAATATTTGAGTTTTAGCTCTCCACCTTACCCCAACACACACGCTCTCTCACACACACAAAATAAAAACAACAACAAAAAACAAAACAAGAAAGAAAAGTAACCTTTCCCTCTAGGTACCCCCTCCTACCCTATCAGATCACATGATATTCTAACCCCAGGGTCTCACTACCCTATCAGATCACATGATATTCCCCAGGGTCTCACTAAAAGAGAAGCCCAAATACCCAGATCATTCACCTTTGACTAAAAGTAGCTACCTAGCGGGAAACTGATTGTTACCATACTGGACCAGAGGAAAGAACTGCCCAGGAAATGGTGGCAGAGGGTGAAGTGGTGTGGATGGTCACTGCTAGCTGGTGCTATCAAGGGCTTAAGCCTTCCAGGATCTAAGAGAAAACCTAGCTTGCCTTTCAGGTTCTCCCTCTTCTGTTTTGGCAACAGTTGATGAAACAGTTTGGAAATAAGTCTTTGTAGAGACTGAGTTTTAAAATGTAATTGAAATCAGAATTAAAAGAACTATGTGCATAATTTTAAATTGTGATGGGAAGAAAAGGAAATAATAAAAAGAACTCAGTTATGTGCAACCACAAAGTCAAAGATGAATTCTTGACACCATTAACATTGTGATGATATGCTTTGACTGATTTTAAGTATCTAGAATGATTGCCTTCTATTCAAACAATAGCCTAAATGACATAAATAAAAACTTCATTGGGTCAATGAAAATTATATGGAATTAATAGTTTATAAATGGGCAATATTTAGAATACTTAATTACTTTTCTCTGGAATCCTTCTATGCTTCTTTTAAACATTTATGTTTATTTACTTATTATTTATTTTTGAAATGGAATCTCTCACTGTTGTCCAGGCATGCTTGAGTAGCTGGAATTACATTAATAGATTTTTAATTTACTTGGATGTTTAATTTAATAAAAACACAGATAATCAGTTCTTTCTCTTCCTATTATATGGTCCTTATGATTTAAAAAAAAATGAACTCTAAAGCTAATTAACTGGGCAAAAGCGTTAAAATTTAAACTAAGGACCCTCTGTATTTGGGTTAACATTTCACTGGATTCTCAAAGCACACAGGATGACTTTCTTCTCTGTCCCATCATGTAGAATAAGAATTAGTTTACCTTGTGCCGATCTCTTTAGAAATTCAATATTTACGGAAAAGTCAAGACCGGCATATCTACTGCTCAAAAGGAATTGTTTCATTTTGAAAATTTCCACAAAGCCATTTAGTAGACTCTTTACAGATAAACATGGAACTAAAATCCTAACTTACACCATACAGTTAAGTGAAAGACAAGGGTACCATTAGAAGTGTCTTAGTGTGTTGAAATGCTGATATGTTAATGACCAATCCAAGATGTAAAGTAACTGACAAGCAAGCAACTACTTAAAAACGTCTGTAAGCCAGGAGCCAGGCTATAATGGAGCCATACGTGGAAACATCTCATTAAAATGATATAGGAAGGAATGCAAGTACCACATAAATTTGATTACCTTCAGTACAAGTCAAAGGGTCAACAGGTTACAAACAATCATTCATAGAATTAATGTTTCTAAATACAAAGACGGGAAGCTTGGACTTATCTTACTGTTCCGTACAACGCATACATTCATTGTCTTCTAGTGTAGGAGTCAATTATTGGTATAATAAAACTGGGAGGGGGAGAACTGGAATGTTGTAAGTAATCTAATCCCAACTGGTCAGCCCATGGGTCAGTTCCGTTTCGTGCTCGATAAGGCAGGTGGATTTGAAAGTAAATGATTTCTAACCTGTGGTCCCCAGAGCTGCAGCAATAGCTCCATCTGGGAGCTTGCTAGAAATGCAGATTGCCAACTGGAGAGAATCGGAAGCAGGACATCTGTGGCTTAACAAACCCATACGTAAATTTGGATGCATGCGAAGAGTTTGAGAACCACTGTTCTTCAGACAAAAGAAACTAGACACCATTGGCTCAGTCGCCAGGACAGGAACTCACAGAGCGAAACAGTTCTTAAGATTGAAGGAACTCGGCTGGATGGGCCCTTGACTGTTGGGGCCAGCCAATGCCTTCTCCCTGGAACCTCTCTGCGTGGTGATACAATGATTCAGTGAAAGGTTTTGTAGGGTGCTACTGATGTCATAGTGGGTTTTTTTTAAATTAATAAATGGTATCCTGTTTATACGGAAACTAATCATTGTTCTCAACTTAGTTTCTCCTGAATAGCCCTGGGTGTATATGATTTCCCCCTTTTTGTCTGTTTTTCCTAAAGTAATGTATTTATATTTTGAACATCTAAATGATGTTTCTATTACAACATGTCAATAAAATTTTTAGGTACCTTTATGTCAATTACAAATACTATAACCCAAAGCAAGGGGATTTCTTAAAAACAACCTCTTTCTAGATTCTTCTGCTATGAATAATGGAGTCATATTTTCCAAGAGAGCAGCATAATTATAAATCAAGCTCTTACTAGTTTCATAAATCTTTCCCAATATCAAGTTCATATTTTCAGTTAAAAAATGCTCAGAAATGTTTCTAAGGCCACGCTAAATCTTGCTGGGTTCCTGCTCAGTGGTTCCCAAACACATTTGTGTCCTCAGGTTACTGCAGGACACCGGAGTCTCTGGCTCTTTCCTCATCTATGGAAGTAAGCAGAAATGTTGGGGTGTGGCACATGGTCCCACAGATGCTGTCCTACCCGGAACTTCAGCCCATCTTGTACAAAATTGTGGTTTCTTTCTTGAGCGGATGTGTACAGTTTTGGAGGATTAGTCTGTGTGTCTCCAAGCTTTGATTGTGACCTGTAGGCTGCGCACTGGCCAGAGAAGCTGGCGGAGGGGCTCCATTGACTACAGGGCACTTTGTTGATTGAATGATACCTAAAATGGGTTGTGAATTATACATGTCCATGCAGACGGCTGTGTTTCTTTCATTTACAGTCAGACAGGCATGGCAGTACTGCGCCCACTGCTTCTCACTAATATTACTGAATCTTTAATGTAACCCTCAATGTTTTCTTTAGGGTTAAGATTTTGATTTTGATTTTGATATCCTTTATGTTCTAATCATAAAGACATTACTTTTAAGCCTTACTTTTAAAGTCCACATATTAGTCCAGGATAGAGCTATGAAGCAAATGAATTCATTTTAAGCCTCTGATGAAGGCCTTGCAGTTTCCCCGTTCTCTCACGCTGCCGAACTTACTCAGTGTTGACCGCTCAGCATGAGAAAGTGCAGGCTTTGTGTTCAGGGATTCTTCTCTACAAACACCTTCAACTTCTATTTGCTAACTTGCATAAATTATGGACCACTCTGGATCTGTGACCTTAACTAGGGAAAAACCCAGGTTTTATAAAGTGACCCAGTGTGTTACCTCTTTCAACAAAGGCCTTCATTCTGTTTAGTTCGGTGGCACTGATAACAGATCGTTACATTTTTTTCAGCAACTATTTATGTTTATCAGTATTTGTCTGCACGTACATATGTGTGCCATGTGTGTGCCTGGTGCCCCCAGAGGCCAGAGAAGGCAACATAGTCCCTGAAACTGGATTTCGAGATAGTTATGAGTCACCACTTGAGTGCTGAGAACCAGCCCCGAATCTTTTGCAAGAGCAGCAAGTACTCTTAACCCCTGAGCCATGTCTTCAGTCAGAGGTTTTCTAATGAAAAAAGGAATCGTTTCTACCCAAGTAGCGCTTATCTCTATTTGGAGAGACGAGGGTCTGCACTACCTTCCTGTAATTAAGGCTACTGGACAAAGTCGCTCCATTGACTGTGGATTTTTTTTTTTTTTTAAATAAGATGCTTGTGTTGATTGTCATACCAGGAAATCTAAGTTAAGAGGACTTGGAAATGAACACTTGTGGCTTGAGGCAGGCTCTTACACTGTGGCTCCGGCTGTCCTAGAACTCACTCACGTTGGCCTTAAACTCAGTACAGTTCTCGTTTCCTTAGCCTCTCCAGAGCGAAATTTGGAGGCATAAGTCTGGCTTGGTTTAAAAATTTCAATCTGAACTGAAATGTCTGTTAGCATCTTCCGGAGTCAAGTGACGGGTAGTGGCTAGATGACCTAAAATGGTAAAATTGTGCATTCATGGAGAAAGCTGGGTCTACCATGAAGGGAAGAAGAGAACCGAGTGGGTAAAGAGACAGCCTAAACATCTTTAAAAGCTGACTGAGAGCTTTGGGAGCTAAGTGAGACTCTGTGATCAATGTATGAGCCTTCCGGTATTAAATCTGATCCCTTGCTCTCCAGGCTCTCACGTAGCCCAGGCTGGCTCCAGATTCCCTATGGACCCGAGGATGTCTCTGAATTTCTGTCTCACTGCTTCCGCCTCCTGAGGACTGGGGTTGTGGGTGTGCACCATGCTGGGACAATACATGAAACACAGGCACCCCGCCACCTGCTTTATGCGGTGCTGGGTGGCCTGTTTCATGGTGCACAGTTTTCTAAGAAAAGGAGGGAAAAATGTCAGCTTTAAGCAATAGAACTTTGGCAGTACATACAAGCAGCTAGGAGCAATGTTCTGCGTACCTCGGGACATACAGTGATAATGACTCTTTTAAGCACAAAAGCCCACCTTGACCTTGATCTTCAGCCCCAGTGGCTAAGGAAAAAAAAAAACAAAACAAAACAAAAAAAAACACTGGTTCCATTCAGAGCCTGAAAGGGTGAAAGAAGAGAGGGGCAAAGGCAGAGGCTAGACATGGAGAGGGACTTACAGTGGTGAGGGAAGGAACCGCTGTCCATCAAGGCGCCTAATTACCTGCCCTTTCTCTCACCTGCAGGGTAATGTAACTGAAAGACGACTCATTAGCCATGATTTTGCAATGAGCAATATTCCATTTGGAACTGTAAGTAGCTCCCTCTGGCTGGACTCTGAAGACCCAGAGGCCTTTTCTGGAGTACGGAGAGCTTTGGAGGTGGTCTAAGAACAACATGGGACTTGGAATGACCTCTCAGAGGATGATGGGAGGATAGGCCAATACTTCCCACATTGCAGGTAAGGACATCCTGGGTATGACATTAGGTCTATCTCATCCTTTTATTTTCAGATTCTACTCGGACTGTTAGAGAACACTTTCACAAGCTAGTCTTGTATTTTCAGGTCCTACTCGGACTGTTAGAGAACACTTTCACAAGCTAGTCTTGCATGCTTTTGTAACCAGTCTGTAGTAGACCAGAGTCTTACTTCTGGGACATATGTACAAGGAAACTGCCTTTTATACTTCAAGAAAGGTCACATTTTGTGACATGCTGTAATTCAGTAATCTGGTTAACTGAGGTGCTCTTTCTAGTAAAGCGAGGTACTTATAGGCCAAACAAGAACAGATTCCCCCAAAGAATCTACAAAATTAAACAGCTAGGGCATACTGCTTTTGTTGAGAAAGACAAAACAAGGCAAAATCTTTAACTCTTAATGACATTTATAAGGTATATAAAATCTAAAGTTGTAGATAAAATAATTCATTGTTTATTCAAACAAATAAATAGTTGAGAGATGGGAATACAGCTCGGTGGTGGAGAATGTTTGTGTAACTTGCATGGGACCCTGGTTTGATTCCCAGCACTAGAAAAGAGAGAAACCGAAACATTGCTTCAGATCAGTTTTTAAACTTGAATTATTACCCAAGTTGAATCATTGTCTCTGAAGGCAGAGATTGTTTTGTGGGACTAGAAAAATGTCCTCTAGATTCTGTGGTCTCTCTGGATGGAATGGAGAATGGGGATTTCTTTTTGACCCCCCAAACAAGCCAGTCTACCTTTCTTTGACCTTGTAGATAGCTATTGAGTTCTCATGGAGGGCAACATTGATGAATATTACCACTGGATAAAGTTCAAGCCCTGTGAGGTCCTTCAGTACTGAAGAGTGAAGTCTCATTTTCAGAGGATGACATATGAATACAGTTTCAGGCACTGGGGAAATGCCACATATGCCTCGGTAACCAATCCTACACTGTAGAGTGTGAGTGGGCTTTCCTGAAAAGCTTTAGTCATTACTATAATGTAAGAAATGTATAAAATATGTGTTAAGGGCTCGGGGGAAGCTCAGTGGTTCCTAAGTATAAGGGATTGAACCTCACACTTAATTCCTAACCCACCACAGATATGGTACTATGTTTCAAATAAATTTTCTAATAATACTTAGAAAAAGAAATATCCACTTAAAATATTGGTCTGAATAACATGAGTTAAAAGAGAGTAAATTTGCTAGAGAGGTGTTTTACGTAGAAAAAAATAGTTTTCTAAATTCATTGTGTCCCTTCCCGTTCAGTCTAGAGTTTGTGTAACTGACACCATCGTCTCACAACTGTGCTGTAGTGGAAGGTTTACAACGATCCTGTCACGGTCCCTAGCCCACCCCGTCCAGCTGTATCCCCATCCCACACTTCTTGCCCCTCCCCTGAGAAGTATGCTCACCAGATGGAGGACTCCGAGTTCGTTTCCTCCAAAGGATACTGTGATATAAAATGAATTGCATCTTAATCTTTCTTAAAAATCCGAGTGTCATACCTTACGTTCAGATAGTTGTGGGGCATAGAAATGTCTGTGCAACAAAAGACTAAGGCACCATTTTTCTTTGTCTGCCTTGGGAACAGAAGCAAAGACTCATGGGACACAGGGTAGTCAGTATCAAAGTCTTGCGACAGTGCACACCACTGCTGAGCCACCGACTTAAAAATCATGCTAGGAAAGAATTTCCTTCCTTTAGAAACAGAGAAATAAAGGCACAACAGTACCTTACCTGGGGAAGTTATGAATATCAACCTGAAAATCTTAACAACTTAAGAATAATGTTGAAATGTTCCCAAATATATTTTAGAAGTCATTTTTTCTTGATTAGAGCACTGGAAAAATACACTTTCGCAGTTTTCTCCCCAACCAAATTATAATCATCAGAATATAAAAATTCTTCTGATTAATTATGTCTGGCGCTAGATACACGAATATATATATCAGCTTGACTTCCCAGCAAATGTTTTCTTAGGACTTACATTGATTTTTGAAAATGATGGACTAAATGGATCAGCCTCGGGCTTCTAAAGGAGAGCTGTTAAAAACGATCCATTTGGGTAGAATAAGACAAGCAAATGCACTTGGAAATTAAGTTTAGATTTAGAAGTGAATGCAGACTCTCCTGTAACAATGTGCGAGGCCAGAGATCACCATGTCACTTGGATACCACTTTGGCATCCAGACTAGCCCAAGGCTGGCTAATTACGGAGAGCTTGGAAAAAGCTTTGTGTTACTAAGTTTCAGAGAACTAGTTTCTCAGAGACCTAGCTTGAATGGGCTGGTGGTAGGGAAAATGCAATCAGCTGGATGGACAGACAGACTCTGACCACAGGGATTTGAGTCCTCTAAATGATGATGTCATAGACGCGGCCCACTCTTCCAAGCCATTCCCTCACAGCCTGACGAACTCTGATGTCAGTCACATGACAGGTGAGCTGGCTGATACATGGGAACACTGCTGGCTGGAGGGCCATGAAGGTCTGGTCTGGAAGGATTTGAATCTGATTGAGAACGGTTAGCACCATGTTGGTCCATGCCTATGAGAAAGGATGGAAGAGAGTTATTGGCTGCCTCATGGTTTAGCACGGCAGTGCTGTTAAGCTCTGGGAATCTGCACATGGTTTTCTCAGGAATGAACCCTAATAGTTTAATGTGCCTGTAACAAACTGGTTTTCATTTCACATACTGAAGGATGGGAAGAGAATCCTCTAACATGAGGGATGGCTTATGTTTAGCTTTCACAAACTGTTAAGACTGAAAACGCAGGAGGAGATGTCCATGAGGCACTGAAAGCTCAATCAGCTCAATTAGCTGTCTGCTAAGACCTGGATCACTTGGGATCATTCTACCTTAATGTAGGAGAAGATTTAAAATCCTTAAAACCCCAACACATTTAAAAACAATTAAGATACAGGATTCACCAAGAAACTTATCTACTAAAGAATAAACAACTATCTCATGGTTACTGGATACTTTAAAAACAACATAGCCCAAAACAGGGATGTCCCTCAGCGAAGAGGGCTTGACTTGCGTGTATCGGGCCTTAGGTTCACTCCCTAGTACTGAAGAAACTAGTCTAGCAAACTTAGGCAGACTCCGTCTTCTCAAGTTTACTTCTCTGTTGGATATGTTTCAAAGGAGGAGGCATGACTCCTGTAGGGTGTATTTCAAATGTATGTACACGTAGAGTTCCCAGGACCCCCATCCTCTGATGCACCTCTAGCAAGACTCTGCAGTAAAGGACTTCATCTAGAATCCCCTAGAATCTTTGTTTCCAGATTTTCTGGAAAAACACTATCAATGCTGTTCCCCCCTCAAACTCCTTTTGACATGCTACATATGTGCTCACGATGGTTAAAATAATTCATGTTATTTTCTTCATACACGGTTTCAAAACGATAGAATAGCCTCAGTGCCATATTCAAATGACAGGAGAGCTCAATGCCAGCTAAAGCCTTTTTGTAAAAAAAAAAAAATCAGCTTTAGCGTCTTCTTTTTACAGGTGGCTTCCTACTTCTAAATTGTATGTCATGACATGAAAACATGGTTTCTAAAATGACCTGAGAAGAAAATTTGTTTCTCAGGCAGATGGCACAGCATAGGTCCAGTCATTCCGACTTGGTGGTAGGATTTATATCTCCTGCTGTGTACCAGATCTCTGTCTGTCTGTCTAATGTAGCCTGAGCTGCCTACAACATGTGACTCAAATATTGCCAAGGATGACTTTGAACTTATGTCTCTGTCTTCATTGCTTCTGTTCGGGGATCGCAGGAGTGACCATACCTAGTTCAGGGAGGTGAAGGGGGCGGGCGGTAGGATATAACCCAGAGCTTCCTGCATGCTAGGCATGCACTCAGCCACCTGAGCGTCATCCTTGCTGGTTTCACATCTTTGGGGATGCAGGTTCTGCAAGGGGGACACCTCTGGCATCTGCAGAAAACTGCTAGCTGGAACGCACCTGGATCTGGGCCTCTGCATCTCGCACAGAGACACTCAGGGAGCTCCCGGTGGAGCCTGAGCGGGGTCTCTTTTCCTGCCTCAGTAGCTCTGGGCCTGCGCTGAAGGAATGGCGCATCTGCCCTTGGTCCATGAGATGCTGTGGCCGCTGAAGCAGTGGGGAATCGGGACCCCGGGGCCCCAGGGGCTCCCCCTTCTTATCCACCTTGACTTCCTTGGGGAAGGCAGGCAGGTTGTGCGGCTGCCTCCTCTTCTTGTACTCTGTCATCAGCTTTGAGATGGTCTTGTCGGCAGCCATGGTGCAAATCTTGTTCCCCGCGCTCTCCCACCACTCTTTTTTGCGGCCAGGATCCTTCCTCTCTGTCTTGGGGCTGGGGGGTAGCAGCAGCATGTCCCCGCTGCCCACTCTCAGGCTCAGAGGCTCACTTAGGTGTTCTCTGCGATCATCTTCCGAGGGCGTGTTTTTCCCGGAAAAGCCTCCCGTGGATGGTGTGGACGACTCCGACTGGAAGGAGGGGAGGATGAAGAACGGGTCACTCTTGAAGGCGGGTGGCTCCTCCAAGCTGCTCTCCAGGTCCAGGTGCATCTGGATGTAGTGGTTACAGAGCTCCATGCACAGCTTGTGCAGCCTCTTGACCAACCACACCCAGTCTGCGTTGCTCACTGGCTGCACACTGAGCGAAGGCAGGCGAGCCCTCCATTGCCTTTTCTCCTTGCCTCGCGGAGGGCTCACCTGTGCGGTCTCCTCAAAGATGTCTTCATCCTCCGACGAGCACTGCTGCGAGGAATCAGAGCTCCTCTCCTCCTCGTCGAAGAGGACCTTCTTCACTTGCTCCGCGGTGATGGTTTCTTGGTTGGTGAGAACCGCACAGACTAGGGCATGAAAGTATATGTTAAAGCTCATGGCCGACTGTCGATACAGGTTGGCGGCGCCTCCGATGCCAGATACTTTCTTCAGCAGGCACTTCAGGCCGGGGCTTGTGTCGAATTCCCGGGCAGTCCTGTAGGAGTCCAGCAGCAGGTCAAATATCACAGCCAGGTTCTGCATGGAGATGTATCTGAGGAAGCCGGCCAGCTTGGTGTCTGGTACTTGGATGGACGTCTTCTCCTCTCCTGGAGAGGGGCCTTTGACAAACTCTTCCAGCAGGACGTCATACAGGTTCTGGAGCAGTACTTGGTGAGAAAGCAAGCTCACCACGATCTCCCTGAAAGAAACGCTTCAAATGCAAAGACGGGAATGGTTAGTGGCTTTCTGCCTTCTCCCTTCTTTCACAGCCAGGTAGGCGATCCACTTCAGAACATGTGACACTCCCAACTAAATCCATTGTGTTCCAAAATTGTTTTTAATTATGTGTGTGCATGCATGCTGAATATGTGGAGGTCAGAGGACTATTTGAAGGATTCAGTGTCCTCTACTTCCTCCGCCATGTGTGTACAGGGGTTCTAACTTAAGTCGTCCAACCTGGTTGCAATCACCTTCACTCACTAAGCCATCTTGCCTGCCCTTTAATATCTCTCTTTAAAAGGGGTAAACTTCCCTTTTAATCATGGCTGATAGAATTCCTGGCACTTCTTAAAATTAAGGAGCTGAGATTGTAAATTAAGCTACTGAATTATCAAGCCACAGGAAATAAGCACAACACCTTCACAAAAAATTACATACAATTATAAGTCAGGCCACTCCTAACCCTTCCAACCTCCTACCCTATTTTCTTACACACATACATACGGAAGTCTTACTGGCTTATTTTTGCTACCAAGAGTTTTCAAGGATCAAATGCGAATGCTTTAGGCACTGGAAATTTCTATGCTACTGCTATTACGGTGCTAACATTATAAGATGAAAAAATAGATGGATAATGTAGCTCACAGACTTCCACAGCAAGCCTGGGAAAACAGCATCTGCTCCTGTCAATTCTCTGCCTGCCAGTTGGGCCACTGGGACTGTGGCACAAAGCTTGCAGGGTCATGTGATTTCCCTGAGTCAACTTTCAGAGAGGAGAGAGCACTCACCCTCCCTAGACACCACTCCGGGGCATCCGGCTGAGCAGTGGGCAGGTAATGAATGAGAGAGTTCCACACTTCTCTAATCAAGAAACAATTCAGATAAGGTAGTTTATATGTAAATGCTCAAATGCTTGGTTTGGCTGCTTTTTGTACTGAGAAAATAATTTCTATTTCAGGCTATTGCCACTTTAATTGACCAGTGTGGTTTGTGGTTTCATGTTCCTTTCACTGCCCCTAGAATTTTATCAAAATAGCTTCTACCATGTTATTGCCATTCTGCTGCCAACTAATTCCTGTAACTGATACAAGGTCCAGACTTCTTTAAAGACAGAATCTGATGCAGCCCAGGCTGACCTCAGACTTGCTATGCAGATGAGGATGGATGGCCTTAACTTCTGATCTCCTGCTTCCAACTCCTAAATGCTGGTACCATACATATGAACTACTGAGCTACCCTTAGGACCAACCACCTTGTTGTTATTTTCTTGTTTTGGTCTGCCCCACTATGAAATCAAATTTTAAAATTCTATAGTTAACAAAGTTTTAGCTAGAAGAACAAAAAAAAAATCATCCATTAATCTAAATACGGGCTTTTCACTTCATGTGCTTGTCACTGAGGAAAAACCATGACTCTCATTCAGGATGAAATACACAGCAAGGGGTTGCCACCCTAAATCAGTAGCCCTGTCAGATGGCCGAGATGACTTCTGCAATGTGTACATTGCACACACATACAACACACCGTATTTTAACCATACAATTCAGCGGCGCTGAGTGTCGTCACTATGCTGGTATAAACGTCACTGTCACTCTAAAACCTTTTCATCATCTTGGGCAGAAACTCCATACATTAAAGAACCCCCCCCCCGGTTCCTATGTAGATAGGGTTTTTTTATTATTATTAAAGTCACTCAGTATTAGCAAACCTGAGTATCTCTTCCTCTGTAGAAGGTTCTACTTGTCTTTGTTATCATTAGGAATCAACTTGATAAAGGTCTAGAACCACCTAATAAAAAGTTTCTATCTTTTCCAGGTTGGTCTGTGGCTCTGTCTGTGAGATTATAGGAGCTGTTATAGGAGACTCCAGCTCACTGTGTGCAGCACCATTTCCTAGGCAGGTAGTCTTGGGTTAAAAAAAAGTTTTTGGGTAAAAGAGCCTGAGAGAGCCAACAATTTATGGTTGGTGATTCAAATTCCTGCTCTGATTTCCTTCAGTGATGGACCACGATCTGGAAGTATGAGGCAAACAAACCCTTTCTCATTCGAGCTACTTTTGACCAGTGTTTTATGACATAAACAGGAAGGAAATTAGAACACTACCAATTTGATCTACGTGCTTCAAGTCTACAGCTTAAGGACCCAAACTAAGAAGGTAAACCCTTCACAGACCTGCTCAGTTCTCTATCATCTGTACTTTGCAGTACTGTCCTCAAAAAGAAGGGCAGTATCTTATCTTTTTCATTGTCTTTAACATATAAAGTAGACAATTATGACCTACCCTTAAAAACTGATGTTGGGGGAAGCAGGAGCTGGAATTGGGGGGAAAGTACATGGGATACCATTAAAGTTCTCTTTTGTGTGACAGGGTCATGCATATATTATTTTCATGTTTCATAAGTTGAATGTACATATATATATCTCCCATGTATTCTTTTGTGTACACTAAATGCTAGCTAAAATATTCCATAGAAATTTTACCTAAATGGTTACAGTATTAAAATGGTTATTTTAACAAACTGTTACTCAAATCACCCAGAGGCTGTGCAGTGGTAACAACTGCCTTTGTTCAGGTTGCTATAGTGAAATCTCACAGATTGTGCTGTTGTATAATCAAAGACGTTGATTTTACAGTGTTTGGCAGTTGAAAGTCTAAGAATAGAGTATTACTATGACTGGACTCTGGTAAGGGTTTTCTAGTAGCTGTGGATTGGGACAAGGGAGCACTCCTGTTTCTCTCAAAGGCATTAGTCCCATTCATGAAGGGCTCACACCTCATGATTTACCAAAGGCCTTACCTTCTAATCGTAACTTGAGGAGTTAGGATTAAAACACAAGTTTGGAGGAATGTCAACCCAAATCCTTTGTACTGACTTGCTCCCCAGAGTTGTGAAGGGCAGAGGTCTTGTGTTCCTCCAGAACTTGGTTTGTTTCTGGCTTTCACACTTAGTGGTTGTATATTTTTGGATATGTATCTTGGCTTTTCTTGTCCTCATGGGTTAAAAGGCAAGTGGGATGTTATCTGCTGTCCCCTTACCCAATGTTAAACAATTATTGCTATTAATTTAAAGGCCAAGTAGCTTTGCCTTTACATCTGACTCCAAGAACAAGGATTTTTCAGGAAGGATGATAGTATTTAAAAATTTCTTCTGGTAATACATGGGTATTTTTGCCTCCTGTCAGCATAGTTGTATTAGTTATTGAAACAGTCTGAATTACCTGAACTGTGCCAATCTGAAATATGGTAGTTATATATTTTAAAGTCTTGTTATGATGCTTGGCTAACCTTGGACTCCTGGGCAGAACTTACTGCCCCAACTTTTGTTTAAAAATCCGATTAACACTTTAAATAAGATTATTACACACATGATTTTATGAACTGAGTTGTATCCTATCCAAATGCATATGTCAAACACCTAATCCCAGTCAGAATAGATCATATTTACAGGAAGGGTCTTTGAGGAGGTAATTAAGTAAAAGTGAAGTCATTTTGGTGGATCTTAGTCTGGTATATACACATTCTTTGTTAGAGGAAATCTGTATAGAAAAACATAGAGGAATCACCATGTATGGACTCAGAAGACAGCCATCTACAAGCTTAACGAACAAGTCCAGCCCACACCTTGACCTCTGACTTTTAGCCTCCAAAACATACATCAGCATTGCCAGTCACCCAGCCTGGGGTAGTTCCTCATGGATTAAACAGTATGCATTGCACGTGTGAAATGTGGTCAACAGGCTTACCATTTTTACGGAAACCTTTGCTAGACGATCCACAATGCTGCTAGTGTTCCTAGCTAGAGCCTGGATTAAGGAGAGGGAGTTTCCAGTGGCCTACCTTTTCTTGGCAAGCCCGTTTGGCTTCTCATCAGGAGGCAGCTCAATGATGAGCTGGCAGGACTGAGCGTGATCGAAGTTGTTTGGAGTCTTTGGTGAGCACTGGGTGTCCAGCATAAACACCTGCAGGAATATACACACACAGGGACAGGTCAGAAGCCCACATCTATTAACGTCACTGACAGCGGGCTAGTGACCCCGGGTAAGTAGTTTATTCTTTACCCATGTCTTTACTTATGAAGTGGGATGACAATGGCTTCCACCTGATAGCGCTGATGAAATAAATTGATGCATGTATATTACATATGCCGAGCAAATAATAAGCATTGATTACCAACATTAATAATACCATTCTATCACACGTCAGTTCATTACCTTCTGAGTATGACAGTAAGTAGTAATAACACATACAGAAGGGGATTGGTATTAGTTTGCTTTCTCTTGCTGTGATACACTCCATGGCCAAAAGCAACTTGGGGAGGAAGGAGTTAACTTCATCTTACAACTTTCAGGTCATGGTCAGTCCATGAGGGAAGTCAGGGCTGGAACTCAAGCAGGAAGGTGGAGGCATGAAGGATTGGTTGCTTACTGGCTTTGTTCCATGGCTTATTTTGTTCAGGCTGCTTTTTTATACACCCAGGACTGTCAGCCCAGGGGTGGCACCATATCAGTCATCAATCAGGAAAATGACCCACAGGCTCGATCAGGTCAATCTGATGGAGACATATTTTCAATAGAGGTTTCCTCTTTCCAGATGACCCTAGCTGCATCAAGGTGTCAAAAACTAACCAGGATACAAGCTACTTCTGTAAAAGCTCATATATATATATGTATGTATGTATGCATGCATATATTACACATAACTGAGATATATACACCCCATATGTATATATGCATATATATGCACACATACACATGTACACATGTATATGATGTCTGTACATAGAATATGCATGCACACCCATATACATATGTTTTAGAGGGGCTTGCAATGCTAGGCAAACACTCTACCACTTTGCTACATCCTTTTATCTCTGGCTTTTATATCCAAGGCAGAAATAAGAAATGAAGACTCAGTCAACCATGGTGACGCATGCCTTTAATCCCAGCACTCAGGAAACAGAGGCAGGCAGATATCTGTGAGTTCTAGGCCAGCTAGGGCTCTATGTCTCAAACAAACAAATGAAGCTAAGATCCATAGCTCCTTTTGGGACCACTTTCCTATTAGGACTCCTGGTGTAACTTGCACAGAGGTGGCTAAAACATTTCAAACATCCATCAGACCTCTGCTCCAAGGTCCCATTTCTTTGGACTTAAAGACCTTTAGACTATCTTTTTAAAGGAAATCTCTTATTTCCTGAAACTAGCTATTTTTAACTGTAAATATAGAAGGTTTGGGATTGAAGAAGAGAAACACCAAGTGGTGAAACACTTCCATGTTCTTCTCCATTAACCACAGATTTCAGGAGAGGCGTCTCTACTGATGGTCCATCTGTTGTCGAGTTTGAAATAGGATCACCAAGCTGGCTTGGAACTCATTCTATAGCCCAAACTAGTCTGAATTCGGGGTCCTTCTGCCTCTTGAATGCTGGAATTATAGACATTTGCCCCCTTGCCCAGGTGCCATTTTTATAGTCTACTGCATGCTTGCACACAAGTGAAAATCCCACAGTGTAAACATGTGAAAAACCACCAAGTGTCACAGGTTTGCTTAGAGAATCCATCCCTGAGGAGGTCACCTTGGGCTTCACTCTAAGCCCAACTTATTGCTGCAGCTGGCTACAGCTGCCATGCTGTTGAAGGGGCTCTTGGATACAGCCTTCTTTTTCCTTTGTCCCTTCTCCTGCAGACACATCATGTATGCTTCTTAGGAACATGGCTCTCTCTTCAAAACGGTATGAGTGTTCTCAGCAGGTGAGGTGACAAGCTGAATATGGAAGGCGCTTCCTTTCTTGTCTCATTCGCTGAGCACTGCTGGGTGAAGTCCTTCAGAAGGAACCTGGACGAGAAACTTCTCAACAGATTCCCTGGATCTGGCATTACAAGTGCTTGTGAGCCACCTGACATAGGTGCTAAGAACCAAATCCAGTTTATATGAAGATGGTTTTAATGGTTGGCTATACTCAATTCAAATGTGCTAAGTCACTTAAAATATTAAGGACTGTTCTGTTTGGGTGATAAAAATGTAATGTCTGAACAATCTTTAGTCACCACATTTAGCAGTGTTAGTATTTAGAAAACCCTTCTCAGTAGCCTAAGCAAGGTCTAGATGAAGTCCAGGCTGTAGGACAGGCTCTGATCCAAGTTCAAAAGAATACAACCTGCAAAGGATGGTGTAGGGAGAATGAGCTAAAGTCATTCTGGTGGGAAAATGGGACTGAAGGGCTTAGGGCCTTAATGTGTATGTCTTTAAGGGAGATACAGGACATTCAGGATGACTCTGAGCATGCATCTCACGCTTCTGAAGTCCCAAGACTCACACCGTCCAACTCTTACCTGCTGGGCCATGGCCCGGATGCGCCAGTACTCTGCCTCAGCACTCGGGGAGGAGGATGGTGCTGCCACCCGCACCTGGCAGCCTTCCCCACTGAAGCCCTCTGTGCCACTGTGGAAGCAGCCTAGCAGGTCCTAGGGAGGAACAGCAAGCATTCCTAGGGTCTGACTGTGTTCAGAGTGCCAGGCCCAATCTGATACTGATTAAAAAAAAAACCAACCCAGTGTTTTTGTTTTTCCCTCATATTCTGCTACTATGCAGCTGTATGAGGAGGCAGACAGAGCTCAGGTGCCCAGTCTGACCAAGCATCAGGGAGCTAAGCAAGAGGAAATCAGCATTGCCTCCCTCTTTCGCCTAGCTCATCATCTTACCTTCACCGGCTTGAGAGTGGCAGAGAAGGCATCCTGCAGGGCGCAGCACGCAAGTCGCCACATTTCCTCAGTGAACACAGGACCCGCGGTCACGAGGACGTACCTGCCAAAAGGCGTGTCCCTTGTCCAGAAATTCTGTGTCCTCAAGGGTGAGTGGAACACAGGTTTACCCTGTACTTGCTCTACAAGACTTCCTGTCTCCTCACTCCTGCCTTCTACCTCTCTGGTCGTCCACTGTCAAGATTGATGTGTCTAAACTAAAACTGTTTAGTTTTAGTTTAGACACATCAATCGATTTCCATTGCAAACAGCCCCACATCAAACCTCGGGCCTATAAGTATGGCTGTGTTCCCTTGATTCATCTTCCCATCCTGGCCCCATTTGTTACCACTCCTCTACAAACCCTAACCACATAAAACAAGACCCAAACTCTTATTATCTCCTTGTACCTGTTGTCTTGTTCTCCCAACTGGAATATTGTCACCTAGTGAAGACTTACAATTGTGATTACAATGAGATGTTCCCAGAAAGTCTCTGGTTTTGAATAAAAAGTCCCCAGTGAGTGGCTGTTTGGGAAGGCTTAAGATGTATTGGCCTTGTTTAAGGTTTCCCAAGCCTTTTACCATCTCCAGTGTAGGGTACTCTTTCTGCTTACAGTCTGAGATGTGAGCTCTCAGCTACTCTCCTGACACACCTTTGCTCCACCATCATGGACGCGAAGCCTTTGGAACTGTAAGCCCAATTAATCACTCTCTTCTATAAATTGCCTTTGTCACAGTGTGTTTTCATTGAAACAACAGAAAAATAATGAAGATGATCACTTTGGGGTAGGAACCAAGTGTCACCATTATTACCATTATGAACCCTGCTCTCTTGTCCTTTCTGTGTATTTATCATTAATTCCTCTGTGGAGGTCAATGTTATCAGTTTTCAGTGACCCTCTCTCTGGTGGTTTTTATTATTTTTCTTTGAGACCTTACCTTGCTGTGTAGCCTAAAGTGGTTTTGAACTCAAACCCTCTTTTCTCTACCTACTGGGTGCTAGGATTACAAGTGTGTTTGTGTCTAGAGGCTGTAGGCCTCTAGCGTAGGCCATCACTCTCAGTGTCTATACTAAAGAGATAGAAGGACCTAGGTATCTGGTAACGTTCTCACAAGAAGACTTCTATGTTCTCATTGTGGTGTATAGAATCAGTACTCTGCATCCCAAAATGGGATTTGTTAGGAGCAGGAGTGGGGCATGAGAACAAGAGCCTAAAACCTTAGAGAATCCCCCACAAGGGTTCCTAGGACCCAGGAACAGATTGAGGCAAACTACCTGGTGGTTAGGAGCTGGTACTGGACACTAATTCTCAGGTTCCCCTCACCATGCTCCACCATCGCTTCTGAAGTAAACCTTCCTCTTTTGTCTCCAAGGAAACCACCCATCACTTTCTCTACCTCCACTTGGTCTATCCCCATCTACACAAAGTACTTGTAGACTAAACACCAAAAAGGACTGTTTATTATAAATTATTTATAAAAAAGTGATTTGCTACCATAAAGATAATGCCTTTGGATTCCATAATAAAACTCCACCTTTGGGGAGAGCCAAGGGACCCTATTCTCACCTAATGCAGGAACAGCCAACTCTGGAGATAGTTTCTGTGGGCTTGGCCACACATGCCACCAGCAGCTCAAAGAGATCCTTCAGCATGGTGTTGATCATGCTCTCATATCTGATGTCTACAGGAAGGAGTAAAAAGGTTCTTAGGACTCTGGTGTAAAGGGGGAGAACGTGATGGCCATCTCTGGTCATAGAAGAAAGGCTAAGACATAAAAAGATATATATTTGGGGAAAAAACAAGAATGGCATACCTTCCCCTTATACCCTCTCAAAACAAAATACAACAAAGCAATGTTTATTTTTGGAGTTCTTTTCCCCAGGTTTGACATGTTTCATTCTGTTTATAAATACAGGAAGATGAAAAGTGGTTCACTTTTTTTTTGTGTATTGTTTAAAGTTCAGCATATTAAGCTACTCAAACAAGACAGAATATAATATATGACCTGAAAATGAGTTGCTGGAAAAAATTGATTCTAAAAAGGAAAATTTGAATATGCTTTCCTTGGTGCCGGAAACTGAATTAACATGGAAGTGCTCTTGGAAAACAAAACAATCTAAACAATCTCGTTTCAGTTTGGTGACTTCTGAACCTTGTCAGTCTGGCTTCCATCTGCACATCATTTGCAGACTGAAGGAAGGAGATATCCCCACTCCAGTCTGTTTGCCAACCCTAGGAATGCATCTGAATGTTCTTCCTAGGGCCCTTGTGATGCAACAGAAGCAAATTTTAGTGGTATTGTTCACACCCCTCCCTGTGCAAAGCAATAGTCTGCTCAAAAATATCAACCCCTTTAGACACATGCCTAATCTGCATGCTGAAGTCTGTCCCTCCTCCTTTAGCGTTAGACTAACCCCCACCCTAAAACTGTAAAAAATCCTTCCTACTCCATCAGCTGTGGAGAACCCTCCCTCTTCCAGCAGCTGTGGAGAACCCTCTCTCCTCCATCAGTTGTGGAGAACCCGCCCTCCTCCACCTGCTACTAGGTATGATATCTTCAACAATAAGCACAGAGCATTCCATTTGATAACTTTATAAGGCTGCATGCATACCAATTTTCCCTCCAATGATATGCTATTAGGTTACTGGTACTAACCACATGATTATATTTCATCTGCTCCCCGGACAAAGGCATTTGCATCAGTCATTCACTAAGCACTTTGAGATAACGACGCTGCAGGCAGAAGCAATGCCCACAAGGGCTGGCTCTGGCACTGTAGCTACCTGAGTGTAGAAAGCTTTGGATGTGCTCCACCACCAGCTCGCAGGACAGACCGATGGCATGCTTGAAGTTAGCAGATGCCACATCCCAGTAGGAATGGTCCTTGTGGCTACGACGGAGCCACAGAGTCATCACAGGAAGGAGGAGGTGAACGACTGCATAGATTCCAAACCCTGGGCCTGGTAAAGGGAGGAGAAGGGTCAGAGCTGTGACTGCAAGAGGAGTTGGGATTTCTTGCTACGGATGGTATCAAAGATCTCTTTCCAAAGAGCTCCCCAGTCTCTGAGAAAATATGGAAGAACTGACAACTCCCCGGGGGGTAATAACAGGAACATTTTCTTCAGATTTTAACTCTGTAGGTATATAAATACCCATACAAATTCAAATATCACATAGCTAAAATGTCACTTAATCTCTTAGATTCAGATGCATAAATACACAGACGCATATAGAAAGAATGTCAAAATATATAACGTATATATTTCTATAGGACATAGGTTTGTTTATTAACAGTCTGGGTCTCACTGTGTTGCCCAGACAGGCCTTGAACTCCTGGACATATGTGTTTTCCTGTGTGATCCTCCTTGCTGCGGGAGCTCTTTCCGCTCCTTCAGCCAATCGCCGCTGAGTTACCAACCCATTGGGGCGTGGTCTCTCTCTCTTTAAAAAAGCAGCGGCTGTCCTCCACTCTGTCTTTGGCTTCTGGCTCCGCTTCTGGCTCCTAGACTCCTTTCCTGTTTGCGCAGAGGGGCTGTTGTCTGGGACGGTAATCTGTAAGTTTTTTCCCCTTTGAATAAATAACCATTCTATTAATCATAATTCCAAACTGGTGTGGGATTGTCTGTGACTTACGCCTTCACCTCCTGAATAGCTCTGTGGCTACAGGCATTTCCCACCACACTGATCGAGAGTTTGAAGAACTACTTTTGGATAAATATGAAGAACAAAGTTTATATTATAAACAATCCTTATTTTCACTGACATATACTATTTCCATTATACATAGGTATAATTTATTATCAATTTCAGTACTGACAGGCATTTAAAATGTGGAATTTTTTTATTCTGTAGACAATGGTATAAAGAAAATATTTGTGCTTCCCTAAAAACATTAGATTTAAAAATTTTTTATTTTAAAAACAAGATAAAAATAGAGTAGGCTGGCTCATGCTTCTATTTCTTGGGTGTTTACAACAGCTAGATTACCAGTTTTAGGCCAATGTGGGCTAAATGGTAAGACCCAGTAAGAAAAATAAAAACAAACAAATGAAAGATACAAAATATAACAAACATGAAAATTACATAGTCTATAATTTTATTTTAACATATTTCCTTAAAGTAGTTTTTGAATATACTATGTATGTATGTGTATTTAGAAATACATTAAATAGTTGATTTCACATTTAAAATAATGCCTTATAAATGTCATTCACTCTTATTAACTGCTTATCACTTAGTGTTCACAATTTTTATTTTAGCATTTAAGAGAGTTCAACAAATAGATATTTTTGGCACTAAACACCATTCATATGTATCATATGTTAATTAATATGAGAACTGAAAATGGCACTTACTAATGAGATGTACTGAGAAGTTGTGGTGCATAACTCTTCAATGGAATGTTTTTAGCTTTTAAACATAAAACTAGATGCAAACTTTGCAATGGGTTTTGAGAAGGTATTAATAATCAAATCTTCATAACAATGAAGAGACTGGGATTAACTGGTAGTTTCATTAAGGTTCTAATTCTATTAGTAAAAACTAAAATTTCAGAGCTGAAGAAATGTCATCAGCTATTAAGAGGTTGCTCTTAACTGAACTCTGGTCCTTTGGTGGTGCGGGAGAATTGTCTGTATTCTGTCAATCATGTTTTAAATAAACGCTGATTGGCCAGGCAGGAAGTATAGGTGGGTTAACCAGATAGGAAGTAGAGGCGGGCGATGAGAACAGGAGTATTCTGGGAAGCAGGAAGTTCCTGCTGCATTCCTGCCCAGACCACTGAGAAGCAAGATATAATCTGCCTGGCTGAGAAAGTACAGAGCCATGTGGCTAACACAGATAAGAATAATGGGTTAATATAAGCTACAAGAGCTAATAAGTAGCCTGAGCTAGTGGGCCAATCAGTTTTATAACTTATGGAGACCTCTGTGTGATTTTCTTTGGGACTTGCCAACTGTGAGGTACTAGGTGGGACAGAAACCCCAATGAACAGGCCCTATATGTTGCACTTTGGATTCCCAGCATCCACATGGCAGCTCACAACTGTTTGTAACTCCAGTTCCAGTAGATTTAGTGCCCTCTTCTGGCCTTTCCAGGCACTGTATGCACACAGTGCACAGACATTTATGTAGGCAAAACATCCATAAAATAACAAAAACACCTTACATTTCTATAAAAATTTCTTTGACTGAGGAAACTTTGGAATGAAGAATATGTATGCTAAGTTTTTAAAACTCATATCAAAAGATGCATTTCTAAGGCCTCTTCTTTTCTACACAGGGGACCATTTCTAGTATTCAGGAATATGTGCTGGCCTGACCTTGGGGTTCTGATAGGATGCATCTTCAGCTGCAGCCACTAAGAGCACCTGCTGTACACGTTCACTATGCTCCCTTCTGCCTGTCTTTTTCTCTTTGCTTCTCTGCCTGTCTCTGTTTATCCCCCCCCCTTTGCCTCTCTCTTCTATTCTGCTGTTCCTGTCCCCAGAGGTCGGTTTCCTCCCTCCCCTTCTTTTTATATTCTGTTTATGTAACAAAAACCCCTCCCCGTGAACTCTGTTGTGTGGTGTCTTTCTCGTGCCACTTTTTAAATTACAACTGTCTCCAACTCTAATCACGTGAGAAGAGGCTGCTTAGTACAGCGTGTGCTCATGAGTGACAGATCTATGGAGCTCTTCTATCAGTCCTCAGGCTGTAAGATCTGGCCAAGAAAGAAGGCTGAAATTATATCTGGCTTACAGAGACAATGATGGATCGATGTGGGAGTCCAACAGCATCAAACCACACATCTTTTGTAGAAATTTCCAGGACATACCTGACCCATCACTTCACTGTAGCTGTTCAACATGGTTACTGAGCTGTTCAACATGGTTACTGAGCATCTACTGTACGTGAAACTTTGTATTAAAAATAAAAAATAGTGACAACAGGGAAACATCCAAAGAAATCCATCTTGGAAATAGTTACACGCCCAACAATCCCTCCTGCAGTAGAAACAGATGTAGAAACTTACCGGGTGTTTTGGTAACATCTCTCAACAGCTCAAAGAGTAAATCTAAGGTTGGTGGTTGGTGTTGCCGAGGGCAGTTGGACACAGCTGCTGTTAGCTGCTCCAACAGGATGATCCAAACTTCTATCAGACCTGGAAAACAAAAAGCGGACCCTTGTGAAACCCAGATATCCATCAGGAAGAATCCTCTCCAGATCTCAGTGAACACTGCGTATGAATGACACTGGGGTGACAGTTATCGCTTGGAGTGTTAGCCTCAGTGCCTATGAGTGGCAAAGATGGGTTAATATGGTCTGACAAAGGAAAACACAAGACTCAAAATTCTTCCTTAACTCTCCACTTCAAAAATGGCAATATTGTATGTAAATTCTATACTGAAATGACAGTCAGACTTCTTGATAGTCTAATCAAATGATAATAAAAACATAAAATGGTCCATTTAGTTTTATTTCCTGTTTTCTTGTTTGTTTTTCTTGTGACATTGGGTCTCTTGGAGCTCATGCTTGCCTCGAACTTGCTATTTAGTCAAGGAACCTTGAACTTCTGATTGACATTTCCCACCTCACATACATGCAACACACAAAACATCTAAACAGTTCTGAGAACTGATATATTCTCAAATATTATCATGGATTTCCAATATACATAATTATCCTGCCCAGTGAAAAGTATAAGCATTTACAAAAAATCATAAGTATACATAGAATATACAAAGCTAAGCATAATAGTTGGTATATCAATTTATAGTCAGTCACCTCCCAAGTGCTGGGGTTTCAGGCACTTATTTCATACCCTATTTATATGGTGATGGAGACCAAACACAGGGCATCATGCATGTGTGGTAACCACAACCTAATAAGCTATATCCCCAGCCTTACTGTCTATTCTTTTAAAAGAACAAAATTAGCCATTTCCATTTTTTTTATAACTTTAGTGGCATCAATTACATGTATCATGTTGTGTAATCATTAATACTGTTACCAATTTTTTTGTCATCTCACACAGACACTCTGTAGTTATTAACCATTGTCTCTCCATTGTCCCCTAACTCCAGCTCCGATTATCTCCTGACCTTGCTTTGTTTACTAAATGTACGGAGTTGGTACATTTGCCATTTCCACTCAAATCACTGGAGGAGGTGTAATGTCAGAAAGGGTCCCCTGGCCTGTTTTCCGATGTTTAACAAGCCATAAAGGTTGTTTGATGAGGGATACAGTTATACTCCAGGCTAGAAAACAGTTCTGATCACTAGGCTGCGGTAATTAGGGCTGTAATGAGCAAGAAAGACACACGTTGAGTGATCCTTAGCTTCCACCAACTTCTATGTTCTCTACCATATAGCCCTTGGAAATGGCCCTGGAATTCACAACCTTGGCCCATATCTCCATCTCCTCGTCACTCTCTTCACAAGTCTATTGAGCGTTGCCTAAGAGAGTTACTTAAATGCCTAACCATTAGGGTTAAACTGGTTGGCCAGAGAGCCCCTGGGACTTCCCTGTCTCCACATCTCTGCCCTTTGTGCTGTGGTTGTAGATGCATGTGTCGATGCCTGCCTTTTATTCGTTACTTGGGATCTGAACTCAGGTCCTACATAGCACGCATTTTACCCACTGAGTCATTTCCCCAACCCTGTTAAAAATTTAATACTAACTTAAAGCTTTTACTTTTGTGCTTTTCCAATTTACTAAGTTTCATACATAATTATAATTTTAAGTCCTTAATGAATTGATGATAGATCACTAATAACTCATGTGGGGATAGATACTGGGCTGAACTTTAATCTGCAAGAAGATGGGTCTTTGGAATAAAACTGATTACTGATTTGCACAAATAAGTTGGGGGATACTTGCTTGCTGCAATCTCTCCCACTCTTGACTGTTATCAATTTATAGCCAGCTGGTCATTTATTATACTTTCCTTCTTTCTCTCTAGCTTTGGTCCAGGCAAAAACCAAGACATTTTATAGACAATAGCGTCTGCTCATGACTACATTGGTTGAAGGTTTCAAATGTTCAGTCAAAATTATTCTTTCTCATAGTTTAATTATTCATTGCATTAGATTCCTATTCCTCCCTATGTTTTCTCTATCTGATTTTTATGAGGTCTTACCATTTAAAATATCCACTAAACACTGTAAACTTCTAACCCCTCCTTATAATTGAACGACAAAAATAAAAACATCCTCCAAGAGTGTCTCAAATGACCCGGACTTGAAAAGTGGGCCTATTGAAGAGTGTCATTTACATTTCTAGGTGTGGACCAGATGAGGTCTTCTGAGCACACAGGCAGCAGGTGCGGGCAGGTGTGCACACACTGGAAGGTTACTTGGAGTTACTAGATAGGAGGCGGGTTTGTAGGAGATTGTATGCCACCTAATCTGAAACAAAGTCTTTAAAAGCATTCTTTTCCTCAGCCCACAGGCTTCACCAGTCACAGAGTCTCCCTTCAGTAATGGCTCTAACCAAGCAGTCTTGGGGGGGAAGTAGCTGCCTTTCCTTGAAGTTAGTGAAGGCAGGTGTTAGCCTATATGAGCACCAGAGCAATTTTGTCCTAATTTGCTAAATTCAAGAGAAATCGGAGTTTGAAACTACTTGGTGGGGTCCGCCTAACTGCGATGGTTTTACACCGAGGCAGCCATCTGAGAGGAATGGCTTAGTGGTGACTTTAGGGAGTCCTTGGAAACTCTGGTTAAACTTATCCTGATAACAATTATATAATAACATGGAAATGGATGACCACTCTTATGATCTGTAAACTAACTTACTTATTCCCTAAGATTCTCGGATTAAGAACACAGTGAATGTTTCTAGACAAGTCAACAAACTTACCAGTGTCGTCATCAAAATCCGACAGGACTGATTCAATTCCATCTTCGCTGCTGGCCGACTGCTCCTGAAGTCTTCGTGGCAAGCTGGCAAGCCGCCCACTCAGGAATATTGGCTTTAAGGGCATTTTGTAGATCTTGGCCAATAACTAGATAAGAAGATCACACCAAATAGTGCACTTATATATTGGAAAATTCTCAGTGTTAGAGAACAGTAGGATTATAAACCACTCTTAAAGGGGACCCAGAACTATAAGGGCTCCTGAAGAATAAATGTTCTTATATTTGCATTTAAAAGGCAACAAGAGCATTTCTATCAAGAAGCAGATGCAATAATGCTCACTGGCAACAGAACGGCGGCTAATTTTCCAACATCTGAGTTTATATATATATATATATATATATATACATATATATATATATATATATATATACACAGATATACATACATACATACATACACTCTCAAGTTGTTGTGAACATGTCAGTTTTGTCTGTGGAGGACCCCAGAGAAGAGTCCATGGGAAAATGGGCACCAGATTCCAGCTTCCCCTTCCCATGACCCTACCTCCAAGGAAGCAGAAGAACAAGAGAAACCCGGGAGATGGAGCAGTCTGAGGTCAAGGTGGAGGAGATGAAAGTGTCTCTCTTGGGCCTCAGCTAAAGACTTTTGCTGATGTTTTTATGAATATGCTCTGAGGCAGCTGTGGGACGTGGAGCTGTGTTTGCCCCCCCGCCCCTAGTACCTGAGAACAACGTCTAAGGTAATCCAGAGCAGGCAGGCACAGGTCTGTGGAAGTGGCTCCCACTCCGGGGACACAGTCTCCAATCTCTTTACAGTCCACCTCCCCTAGGGCAGAGTGGGGACAGAGACAAAATTACCTATGTTCTCCAGTCATGACAGAAGACCTGCTCACTCACATGTTACCCCGATAAATACACATGGAAGGGGTGGGGAGGAAAAACTACAGCAGCTCATATAATCCCAATGTGATTCTGCTCCATGAATGTTCTCCCCAGGAGGAACACTTTGTCTGCTCCGGTCCAGCACCTCTGGTGGCTGAGCAAGCATTGCTGTACACCAGCACATTAATTCACATCTCTGCTGGATGAGGTGACTTCTGAGGCTTTGGCCACTGAGAACAGTCCCAGAGGCAGTCCTTGTAAGGCTGGAATGAGGCTTTTGACCTCTCTCTTTGGATTTTATCTGCTGCCAGCATGGGGTACTAAATGAAGAGCCCAGGAAGAACAAACATATGGGGTTTGGAGTCATAGGAAACTTAATTGGACTTAAATTAGTTTATTTTCATATAGTTGTAGAGATTTAACTCATCTCTGGAAAACATTTTTCAATAGGTTAAAAAATAATTTTTATTTTTCAGTGTCATGAATCTATTTCTATACTTCTAATAAAATTATTCCACAGCACTGTGATTATTGCTAATTGTCTGCAATTGTAGCAGCAAGCATCCTTCCCTATGGGTAAACAGACATAATTACTAGGCATTAATTAAAACTCAGAAGCAATGAGGCATGCTTCTACATAAAAGAAATAAACGAATTCACATTTTAGATTAGGGTTGGGAAACTTTTCGTAAAGTGCCAGAGAGTCAGTTCCCAAGGCTCTGTGGGTCATCCTGCCTGGCTTGCGGCTTCATTCCTGTTGCTCTAGCACAAAGGTAGAATAAAATTGTTTTCAGGAAAATCGCTTAGGGAGTTTGATTTGAATTGTAAGCTTGCCAGCTCCTGGTTTACTGTCATATACTTTACAACTGAAAACAGAGGCCAGGGCGAATCTGTGGGAAAAAAACGACCCAACAAAACCGCTGGAAATGAGCAATAGCGTCATTTCCTAGCCTCTCAATATTAGCAGGTGTTACCTTTTCTATGTTGTATACCCAAGTAATGTTGGCTCTGGAACCAGGTGGTACCCAGGAAGCATGGCTGTATGGGGTGCTCTGTCTTTCCCACTGAACCCCAAGCCTCACACCTTGACTCTACTCATAGATTGCACAACAAAACAGAACCCACCTTCTCAAAATATCTTCCATGTGCACATTAATAATTTGTCATCTCTACATTCAGTGCCTAACTTTTCTGTAAGATAAGGTCTCAAATTTCTAACACTCTGTCAGGCATGTTTGCCTGAGTATTTCACAGACTCTCAATGTGTCTAACTGTCCAAGGAAAATTCTTTACCTTTTCTTCTTTGCTATGGACTAAGTACTTGTACCCACATGATATGACAACATGAGCGGAAAATTTCAGAAGTAAGAAATTCCTAAGTTTTAAATTACATGTTTTTGTCACCGACAAGATGGATGTGTTCTGCATCCAGGCTGGATATAGCACCTACCTATTGTTTCTTTGTAGCCATCTGGGTTACCAGATGTAACTGCTTGATGTGATATCCATGTATTGTAGTTGTTTTTTAAATTTTTAATATCTATTTTTATTTTTATGTGTGTGAGTTGCTTTGCTTGCATGAATGTCCCTGTAGAGGGCTAACTGTATGTTGTAACAGAACAGGGGAAGGATTGCCTACAGCTCAGACAAATAAGAAATAAATTCTGTGCCTTTGTTTTGTTCTTACTTCAAAAATAAGGGTGACACAAGTGTCACAATTTGTGTCCAGTTTCCTTCACAGAGAAATGATCAACACATCAGTTATCCATTGAGAAGATACACAAACATCAAGTTTCTATTTTCCTTATTTCCAAGATTCTCAGGCTCCACACCCCGGAGCTCTCTGTGTAAACCTCTCAGGCGTGCAGACATCTTCCAAACTTGTGGTTTAAAGACTATACTTTCAGGGATCATTTCTATAGTTCGTTACTAAACCTGTGGTTTAATCCCTAGTCTTCTCTTCATCTCACCCAGACGAATCTATGCTCTGTAAAACCCAGCTCCAGCCAGCCATGCTGCATACAAGACTTCACCCTATTAAATGTTTTTAACTTAAGCATCGAACCACCTACATGGTCCCTAAAATACACCAGGACTTCAAGAAGGGGGAAGGCTGACTCATCTAAAACACACATTGCATTGAGGAAGGCCAGAGGAGGCATTCCTAAGTTTACTTTCCGACTGCCAACCATGACACTGGAGAGAACGGTTTCCTACACAATTGCTGAAGATTAAATGGGATATCTTAAGATCGAAAAGGAAGTTGGTGGTATAAAATAATGTATAGTTTGAGAATGTATTGTATTACAAGATACTTTAGATAAAGTAAAAGAAATCAACTTCAAAGTGCAGTGAGCCTCTGAACCCATGTGCCCATATCCCAGGATGCACGCTTGCTCTTGCACCCTGCCTCCAGGGATGTCCCTCCAAAGTCACATTTAAAGGGTCTACCGTGACCGTGAGTGTCATTAGAGGAGGGTTCCACTTACCCAGTCCTTTGACGAACTTCATAAGGCACATGATGTAACTAGTGGCCGCATTAGCAAAGACCTGAATGTTGTCAGTGTTGAGAAAAGCTTCAAACACGTCGAACACAGGAGCCTGGCCTTTTCCTGAGGGAGGAAGGGGATAGAACTGTAAGGAAGGGAGGTTTTAACCCTTCATGGTGCTTATGCTTCCAGCATCTCCTAGGTAGCCTTAGAAGAGTCACTGGAGAAGTGTTTGGATCTTTGGACCAAATAGCTAGCCTATTCTGCTGCTTCACCTAAATGGGAGCTATGGAGAGGCTGGGTAGATAATGGAGGGTTGAGCTGGAGGAACACAGACCCGGAGCAATATGTGGTCTACACTACAGTAAACATGGGGCTTCTGGAATGTTTCAGCACATCTATAGAAGAGCCTTTGGGGAAATACACTCCTTTATTCATTCCTGTGCAGGAGACACAGAAGGCCCGAGGCTGCTTGCCTTAGGAAACCATACTCGCAGAGTTGTTAGTCAGGTGGCTCTTGACTGGCATCCAGGTACTTGATTCTTAGAATAGCCCCGCAAGTTATCTCATAAGATGCTTCACTATCCTAGGCTGTGCAAAAGTTTTAGTTTATACTGAACAACTGGGAGCTGGTATATGCCAGGTAGAGTGTGCCTATGTGACCAGTTTCCAGCTTGGTCTTTAACGGGCTTTATGTTGCCGCCACTTCCGCTGCTCAGGGAAGTTTCCTGTGTGGTGTTCTATGGGAAGGCAAGAATGTAAGGAAACCTATAGGATCTGTCCAGATTCTCTGCCTTTTTACCTTATAACCTGGCTGTGCCCTTATTATATTACCATAGTGAAACTTAGTCATGAACCATGCAATAAATTTTATCATAGCTGCATGCTCTATCCCACAAGTCCTTCTGCTGGGTTTCTGAATGTTAAAAAGGTCTTGGGGATCACTGACACAACACCCCTGGACTCCGGGCATGTTAATCTATTTCTAGCCCGATCCAAATTCCCTAATTAGGATATAAATTCCTAATTATAATTCCCCTATTTTATACTTTTCTGTCTCCTTACTTGAAAATAGATACAGGCTTAGTGTACCTTTTCCTAAATGCTAGGCACTAGATGTTTTTCAGAACTTGGAATTTTTCGGAGTTTGAAATACTTGCTAGAATTTACTGAGACTCTAAAATCCAATGTTTTGGATTTTGCAGCGGTTTATATTTTCAGATGTTCAAGTTGTGACATTTCCCTGTGTGGTCTCAGGAAGTAACTCTGTATAGCAATACAGAGTGGACCAAAAACCTCTTGGTGTGAGCAGGACTTGAGGAGCTCAGAACTCTGGGTCAGCTGGCAACAATCCAACCCCAGGTCTTAGGCTCATGTTAGCTGACAAAACACAGCTGGCAGAATGGCTCTCCTACTGCTCTGTTGATGAGCCAAGACTCGGCCTAAGGAACGAAGGTGCCTGCTACGGTAAGAATCACCCAACTGTTCTTACCCATGGAGTACTCCCCAACCAGGTACTCCTTCACCTCCGACTTGTTCCCGCTGTGCACTGTCTCCAGAGCACTGAACAGGGGGCGCCATCCTGACTGGATCTGCGTGGAGCACACCTCAACCAGCTCCCCGATGGAGGTGACCACCTGCACAGGGAAGGCCGAAGTGCTTAATTAACACATGTGGAACTTGTAGGAAAGGTGGTGGGCTTCTCTTTCCCCTTCCCCACCCCCCATTTCTGAGTTAATTTTAGCGAGAGAGAAAAACACAGCTGAGACAGATTCGCTTGTTTTCCCAGTAACTAATGTTGCTGAGTAAACTTCCCCAAGATTAGCCTTCTGTGAGCTTGCTGTTTTTTGCATTGGATATATGCCTCCTTATCACCATGTACTGTGGATTCAGGGCCTTCCCACGTCACGCTTTTCAAGTAACTCTTACAACTTTGATTCTTATCTTTTTTCCTTTAAAGATTTTCTGCGTGAGCGTTTTACCTGTATGTATATATACCATATGCATGCCTGGTGTCCATAGAATCAGCAGAGACTTTGTATCCCATAGAACTGAAGTTATGGACAGTTGTGAGACATCATGTGGGTGCTAGGAATCGAACCTGGGTCCTCTGGAAGAGCAGCCAGTGCTCTTAAGCATGCAGCCAACTCTTCAGCCCTGAGTTTGCCTTTTAATTATTATATCTTAATTTTATCTTTCAGGGAATGCAAGTGTTTAATTTTGATAAGGTCTGATTCATCACTTTTTCTTCCTAAGGGTCAAGTTGCTGGTATTGCTTCCAAGAAAACTCTATCTCACGCATGCTTACAGTTATTGCTCTTACTAATGTTAAGTCATGACCAATTTTTGGTGTGTGTGTGTGTGTGTGTGTGTGTGTGTGTGTGTGTGTGTGGTGAGAGGTGAGGGGTTAAGCTCATCTTTCTTACAAATGTCCAAGTAAAACTGGCTGAAAACACCGCCGACTTCTTCTGTTAAATTACAAGGGCGTCTTCCTCACAAGTCCATTAGCCAAACACACAGACTTCTTTCTTTAGAGGTCTTCCCTTCTAATATGAACATTAGCAACTGTAATTTCCCTCGAAGTACTGACTTAACTACATCCCACAAATGCAGTGTGCCATGTTTGCACTCAAGACATTTTTTTTAAAGCTTCCTTGTCGTTTCTTCATTGACTTAAGGATTACTTAGAATTTTGATGTTGAATTTCCAAATATTTAAACATTTTCCAAGTTATTTATTATGAACCCAATTCCATAATAGCCAGAAAATATACTTTGTATGATTTAAATTTGTTCAAACTTATTGCGACTTGCCTCATAGGTTGGCATAGCAACTGTTACTAAGAAAGCTCCACACACACTTGGACATGTGCACCTGTCACTCAGACTGGTCCTCAGTGTTGTTCGTTAGCTCTACCCAGAGCTGTTGCTGTCTGGTTGTTCTATCAATTGCTTCAAGGGAAGTGTTGTGATATCTCATTATGATTCATTTTAAGTCAAAGGAAAATGTATACAGTGTAAATTGACCACATTTCCAATTGCATGTAGCTCATGCTGTTTAATACAGCTTCCACCGCTATCCATCCCCACAAAATTTTCATCTTTCAAAAATGAGATTCTGTGCCTATTAGACAGTAGCTTTCCATTCCTCTCCATGGTGAGCCTTACATTGTCTATATCTCCAATCTGTTGTTGGGTCTTTGTGCATTTCTAAGGTTGCATATGTGTAGGTACCCTGTATGAGGGCCAGAAGTTGATATTGGGCAGCTTCCTCTGTTGCTCTCCACCTAACAGTCTCCCACTGAACCTGGAGCTTGCTGGTTTGACCAGGCTAGCCAGAAGTCAAGTCCTAGGGGTTCTCCACTTCAACCAAAATGGGGTTACAGTAAGCATCACATGCCTGCTGTTACACAGGTGCTAGACTCGAACTCAGGTCCTCGGGCTTAGACAGCCAGTACAGTACTGACTGAACTATCTCCGTAGAGCCCCTCCCCCATTTTTATGTCTTCCCAATGTACTGACTTGGTTTTAATTATAAAATGCCCATTTCTAGTAATAGTAATACTCTTCGCTTGTCTTTTGTCTTTGACCTGACACTAACACAATTCCACAAAGCTAGAATCTGCATGGTTCTAGCTCTTCACTGTCTTCTTCTATCAGCCTCTCCTCTTCCCCATCCCAGGAGAGTAGCCCAGACTGGCTTAGAACATCCCATGAAGCCCATGCTGGCTCTACTCTTGTAATCCCCCTGCCTCCTGGAATTGTAGGCACAGGCCACCACAGCTAGCTCTTGATTCCATCTGACGATGTGGCTGTGGCCACAAACATTTCCATAGATGGTTTCTTCATTTCTCTTGGGGACACACTTTTGGAAGAACTGCCAGGCTGTGCTCTGAACCAAGTAAAGTATTTGCTTTCTTAATCCGGCTTCTGATGGTAATTTCCTCTGCATCTCACCTGTGGTTATTAGCTCCCCTTTGCTTTTAGCTGCTCCCCCTGCCCTCACTCCGCAGCAAGTGAACCAATACTCGTCATGGGTTCAATTTGCATTTTCCTAATGATGCTGAGCATCCTACTCAAAGCTACCATGCGTGTGGATCTACTTACATCAGCATTTTGCTCTGTTTCCCATACTTACTGTACCCTTTGTTCTTCTTGTCTTCTTTTACCACATTCTTTTATGTTAAGCACATGTCATTTCAACATCTCTGTTTATAGCACAGAATATATTTCTCTTCATATACATGTCACTTTCTTCATTTTTAATGAGGGGATTATAATTTATACCTTCAATTTATTACAACATTATACGTCTAGTTAACACTGACTTTATTTGGGAGGAAAAAGCAGAATTTGGCTTCTATATATCCTCATTTCCTCTCTTTTCTCTAATGTTACTTATCTTTATATTTAAGCTTGGCCTAAGTGAAGCCTAAGTAAGATCTATAGCTGTCATTGGCTACTACAACCCTGAGAATGTGGTATGATGAACTCTGGTTTCACCTGATGGTACAATTCATTACAGCAAAACCACCCCAGGGGCTGTGAGGGTGTTCACCCCTCTCTGGCTGTCACTATGGTGGCATTTAAGTAGGTTTCATTTTCTTGTCAATATGTCATTGCATTGAAAAGGAAACAAAAAGCTCTATTCGGAATCTGAGTTGATTTCAGAAGAGAGCCTGCTGAGTTCTGGACCTACCAACGTGTCACCTGTGAGGTCACCGGGTTTGCTTTCTTCCATTTGTCCCCCATTAGGCAGGGTGAATATGATCGATAGTGTGGTCTATAAACTATTGCTCAATGCAGCCAGGTTCTGTAGGTCTGTGTTTCTATCCCATCAATCGCTAGGGGCTAAATTGTTTAACCTCGCTTTGTCACCTGCTTGGAAAGACAGCACGCGAACCAGAGTACAGTGCTGGCTTCTCCCTCCCCCGATGCCAGCCCTGGAGAACAGGAGGCCGTAGCCCGTGTCACACTGACCTGGTCTTGAACGTCTTCATCACATAGCTCCAGCTGCATGATGCGCTCAAAGGGCCGGAAGAGCGCTTCGTTGAAATGAAAGTGAGGCGGCTCACTCCAGTCTGTGAGAACCTCGGTCAGGATGTCATGGATGAAGGAAACAGCCTTCTGAGACACATGGCGCTCCTTGTGGCAGGCGGCCTGCACAAGACAAGAGAGAGCTGAACGCCAGCAGGAAGCCAGGCAAGGAAAATGTGGTTCTGTAGCAAGCCTTCCCTGAGCTTAAGCACAGGTTCTTCCCACCTTCCAAGCTCACCTCCACCAGGTGCGGCGCCACAAGGCTCCAGCAGCGCATCACGTGGAGCAGGGGCCGGGCTTTGCTCCTCACAATCCTCAGCATGGCATCTCCCAGGCGGAACAGGTGCAGAGCGCTTTTGCGATCCTGGGTGGACTTAACTTCTCCTACAGGAAGGCAAGATGAGAAAGCCCTGACTCAGGAAATAGTTCAAAAGACTCCAGCACAGGGAAGTTGAGAAATCAAGGCAGTGGTCTTGGATAGCAAGATGGTTTTAGATGGCTCATCGAGGAAGAGAGAGCTTCCCACTCAAAACCAGAAAGGTGGTCACTCACTAGGACCAAAACCTATCCCTGATTCAGCACTGTGTCCACAGAGAAGGAAGCATGGAACAGTGACTTAAATAGTAACACTGAGGAGTTAGACCCTTTTAGTAGCTGCTTTGGAATGGGCCAAGGATTTCCTTCTATTCCCCACTGATCTCATGTATAAAACAAGGGGTAAATATAACTACTTATTAAAGTTCCTTTTATTATTAAATGAATGTGAGGGCCCACATTCAGTGCTTACCACGAAGTCCAGAACACATGGATGGGTGTTTTAAACTGTAATAGTTATGACTGTTACTGCCATGTTTCACACATGCCGTCGGCATCAATGACTGGGGTTATTTCATCCTTACCTACCACCAGTTTCTCCAGGGGATATTACCTGGCATGGCCAGAGAGTAATCGACGGTGTCTGTCACGGAATGGAAAAGCTGGGACTGAGACGCTTTCTTTAGCTGGTAGAGGAACCCTCCCAAGGCCATGAGGTTCAGCTTATCTGTAGCATCGTCAAAGAGCCTGGGTGCAAATAAACATACGTGTTATGTGGGAACAATTCAGCAAGGGCATATGGCAGAATAATTATGGTAATTTAGCTAAGGTAATTAACAAAACTCCATGCAAACACTGCAGGCAAATGGGTGGTATGATCATAACTATTATTAATGTGCCAAAGTCTGCACTAGCAATGGAATTTTGATGCAACGAATACCATAAGACATCCTTGAAAAAAAATAATCTTTGCAGGTTCTAAGCTAGCTAGAGGGGGTAAGCGCTCCTACAGTGCTCAGCAAGAATGTGAAAAATGACAAAAGTATTGCTTCCGGAGATTCCAGGGCAATGGGGAGAAGGGTGAGATGTAAAGATCAGACATCAGGTTCCCATAACCACAGTGAGCAGCGAGGTCTACCCGCCAAGCCTGCGGTGATGTCAGTGGTGTGGGATGCCATATACACAAGGGTCATTGTCTTGAACAGAAACTGAAGCCTTTATGAAGGGCTAAGATAAGATATACTAAGCTTTAGGACAGAAAGAGTAAAAGAAATGAGGCATTAAGAGACATTTTATAATTTTATAAATTTTATAAACCCTGTGTTGAGAAAATTGAAGCAAGCTTAAAATTTAACATCAAAGTCAAAGACCTAATTTGAAATGCCAAAGGCCTTGAAAAGTCACACAAATGACTGCAAAGCTCACAGGAAACAAAACAAAACTTTAGTCTGTAGATAAGTGCAAATCAAACCCACAGGTTCATTCTGACGCCAAGAGGAATGTATGAAATAATTTCATATGTAATGAATATTGAATTTTTTAAAAATCACAATGTCTTTCATTGCCATCTGGATCAGAGTGTGTCATGCTTAACTAAGATTCTGTAATTTTGCTGGATGGTGGTGGTGCTTTTAATCCCAGCACTTGGGAGGCAGAGGCAGGCAGATCTCTGTGAGTTCGAGGCCAGCCTAATCTACAGAGAGTTCCAAGACAGCCAGGGCTGCCACACAGAGAAATCGTGTCTCAAAAACAAACAACAGCAAAGCAAAGCAAAACAAATTTTAAATTCTGTAATTTTAGGGCTGAATAGATGGCTCAGCAGTTAAGAGCACTGGCTGACTTTTTTTCAGAGGACCCAAGTTCGACTCCAACACTTAGTTGCTTCTAGCCATCTGTAACTCCAGTTCCAGGGGATCCAGTGCATTCTCTGTCCCCCATGTGTACATGCGGTACTCAGGCATACACGTGGGCATAACATAGTATGCATTTACAAAGATTAAAAATGAATTCTGAAGTTTTAATAGATGAAGATGCTGCTCACTTTGTAGGGTGCTTATGTCGTATGCCTGAAGTGGGGTCCCATCACCAGCACACCATAAACTGAGTGTCGTGTCACAAGTTCAAGGCTATAATCACCCCCATCTAGGATGCGAAGGCTAGAGAGAGGTTTAAGGCCATCCTCAGCTACACAGCAAATTTGGGAACAGCCTAAGAGACATGAGATTCTATTTTTAAAAAAAAAGCCTGCACTTTTATTCCACTTGTGATGTTGTCTTTAAGAGTATTGGAGTGAGACAGACTTGGAAGCCTTTGCCGGCTCCATCATTCTAAAGTGGAATGACTTAAAACAAATTAGCTAACGCCACTGACCTATCTTTTCCTCCTCTGAGAAATAAAGTTAACTCTCACGGTTGGGCTGCCTGGAGGGTTGTCTAGTCTGTGTGGAGTGTCCAGAAGAGTGCTTGGTACCCTCACTGCTACCTAATGTTAGTTTCTATTATATAATTATTATGGCTTATTCAGTGGAGCCTTTGAGAGGTGAGGATGCATTCTGAGCATGGGAGCTGAATCTCAGCAAATGAAAATCTTTGGCAGAGAAAGCAGAAGGACTCAGAAACTTAGCTGGCTTGTAGATCCATCCTTGTCTCACCTTTAAAACATAGGAACCACTCTAATCATCCCATGAAGAAGACTAGAGAATTTCCTTTGAGTAAACCATTCACTCCCAGAAAGTGAGACAGAAAGATAGAACACCACACACACACACACACACACACACACACACACACACAATGGATGTTGAGGTGAAGAGGTTATCCAAAACAAAGATTGCCAGCCACTTATCACCATGTTTTGCACAAATAAATTAAAAAATTCAATAAGCTTTTAAAACTATAGTTATATTAGACATATTCTAACTTTTAAGTACCTTGTTAAAATAGACATCTAATTTAATTAAAAGTAATCCCTCTTTGACTGTTCTTCTAAGAAATTCTATCAATATAGCAGCAATTTTTTTCTGTATTCAAAGATAATTATATTTACACATTGAGGTCTTTCTTATATTGGCAGGAGATATCTAATGAAAAACATAGCATACATCATACATATATAACACACACACTATACATACCCACACACACATATCTCACATACACCAGCACACACACATAGTACACACAGTAAACACACACAGTGCACACAACAGTACTCAAGTAGGAACACACAGCTCACATTCACACATAACAACATGCACCAGTATGATACTTATTGTGAACCCTGTCTGTTCCCTTTATAGGATGCCTGGGCATAATGACTATATGCTGAGTGGATAGATAAGGAAATGTCATATGTGACTGGGGCTCACAAACATTTCCAACATCAAGACATGTTGCCAAATAGTTGAGGCAATAGTTGGTTTTCCGTCTTTACCTTAATGCGGCTCTTAGGCATCAATAAGTATCATCATACTTCTGGGTTCCTGGGTAAAAATTTTTATTATTTTCATGTGTGCGCACATGTGCTCAAGCCTGAAGTCGACAATGGGCATCTTCCTTGATTTCTCTCATTCCACACATTTGCTGCTGCAGGTTCTCTTACTGAATCCAGGGCTAGTTGATTTCTGCCAGCCTAGGGAACTAGCTTGACTAGTTAGGGATCCTGTCCTTACTTCCCAGAAAATGAGGGCCTGCTGGTTGGCCAGCCTAGCCTG